GAACACCATAATGGAAATGTATTGATTTCATAGCCTTGAAATGTTGTTTTATTTCTATCTCCCTTCCACCGGTATTACAAACACAAATTCTATTGCAGCATGGCATGATTGACCAAGCCTTTATAAGAGCAGTGTATTGCACCATTATGTTCCAAGTATCTTATGAAAAAAAAAACAAGGTAAAGGAAATTTCTTAAGCAGAATCAGAGTTCATTTAAGGCCACTTAACCAACAAAACTTGATAATGTGGGAGAGTGCAATGTTTGTGGTGTGCTTATTTGCAATCATCTGTTTCTCCGTTCCTCTTATCTGGCTCAGCTTACGTATGACTTCTTTCAACACAAATCTGTAAATTTTCAAAATAAAAAAATAAAATCCCCCACAATCCAAAAACTCCATCGGTACGACACAACACGCCCACCGTTAAATGCATTGTTTGCTGGTTGGCAACGGCCGTTTCTAAATACTTCTAGTGTGTCTTTATTTTACCATGAGCATTTTCCAAGGGGAAGAGACTTTTGAAGATGGGCCTGTCAGTGCCAGGTTGGGAACAGTCTACAGCCAATTCCTTCTCACAGAGCTCTCAGGAAAACCTCAGATCCCCACCCAACAGACCAGTCACTGAACCCATCATTGAAAATTCCACCCACCCTCTTCCTGGGACGGTGCCAAGCTCTCTCTGCAGCCCCAGTGCTCTTGCCTCTTGTCCGATCCCCAGCGCTTTGATACTAGAGGACTGGGGGAAGGGAACGGGTCTACATCCATTTAATTTACAGAATGGAACATGGAAAAGAACCGGGCTCAAAACCAAAACAGGGTGGGATCTGCAGTGGATTTTATTTTTTAACCAGGACCAGAAAAAATAACAGCTTTCTTTAGCAAGGGAACTTTTGTCACCAAGTACTTTAAAAACTCTGAATTTGTTATCGTAGATGGAAAAGAATGCCGGCACAATAAAAACTTCCAGAAATTCCAGTCATCGAAGGATTCACGTAAATTGTCTTCCCTGAGGTATACCTGACCCCTCAAGAACGCTTGTCATATGAACCTTGCACCTAGTCCCTGTCCAAGAGGGAATGTTGGGAATGAGCACACGTGGTAACGTTCAGTAAAAGCATTTTTTTGTCCCTCGTTTTGAAGAAGGCTGCTCCTTGCTCTAAACTAGTACTATTGCTCAGTGTTAATTCCTATCTTGACCTCTTGCAGCAGCAGAAGTACAGTAGATGTGGCTGGGTGGTCTCCCAGCAGTTAATACAGCATTTGGTCCTGCATCCTTTCCTACAGTACTGTATCTCTACAGCTTCCATCCTTGCATGGTGTCAGATGAGGTGGGGCCAGTAGAGAGCTTCTGCTGTAAACCCTTATTGCACGTGTCTTCACTTTAGAGGGGCTGAATTGCTGGCATGGTGGGGTGTTGGAGGGGTGGAAATGCATATTATTTTGATCTTGTTTTGGTGTTTCTGAAAAAAAATCTAAACCACCAGAGACTGCTTCACAACAAAATTGCAAAGAGGGCTGTGTTTTGATCCGAGAATTGCTTGAGAGAGAAGACATCCTTTAAAAGCAGCTTTTTTTAACAGTTGAACTACTGTTTTTTTAGATGATGTTGCTATTTTATTGATCTATTAGTGTGGTTCACCAAGCAGTGCTTCCATTCCTGTCTTTAATTCTGTCTCCTCCTTGCGAGAGCACTATTTGAAAAAGTACTGGGACATAACTACATCATACTATGGCATCCATATTAAGGAATCTCTTAAACAAGCTTGGCAGGGGTGATGTTTTGCCAAAGATTTGTACAGGCCTGTGCGTATCATGACTGCTCCTTACACAATGAGCATTCAGTGAACGCAACGTTGAAGTTATTTACTAGTTCTATGGCAGACAAACAACAACTGATTCTGTACATTAGTCATTTTCATGACTCATGGAAAAAACATCGCATCATCAGGCATTTTAAACAAATACTGGTGGTTCTTCACTGTCTGGGGTCTGTCAAGGGTGATTCCCAGCATCCCAAGAAATACGGGATACAATTCATAAAATGATTTGCAGCACTTAAAGGAGAAGAGCAGTTTTCTCTGAGCGTAGAGAGCTATTTTTTTATTTCTCTGAGTAGAACTTCACCTTAAAATGGTCAGACGAATTAAACGTGACCAAGGCTGTAACTAATAACTACGGTGTTTTCTTTTATTTATTATTCTCTTGACGTTTTGTCAAACACTGCGCGAACCATTTTCAGATAGGACTGCATAAAAAGATTATTTTTCTTCGGACCTAGCAACAACCTTAAGACGCCAGTGTTGCGTGCGCCCGGTTATGTACCTGGTACCTTCTGTTTGTGGAGGGTGTGCAAATGAAACCGAGAAATGAGTCAGATAACTGCGGTTTGCTGAAGTGACAGCTGCCAGGGTTTTATAACTCGCTGTTTGCCTGTGAGATAGTGTGTGCTGCTGGCCCTGTATTGTAGTTCCACATTGCGTGTCTAGCAGAGCAGTCTAGCACAATTTGGTGACGCAAGCAGTGCTATTAATATCACAGGGACGGGATGTACTCTCTGTTCACCAGCGGGGTCACTCCAGGAGAAACAATGCAGTTTCTCTTCTCGCTAATATTATGATTGCTGCTTAGATTCCGAAGCTCTGTCTGCTGTTGTTTGCTCCCATCTAAGATTTAGGAAATGCAACTAAGTTTTATTTAGTACTTACGAGCTTGTATGACCGCCAACAGTACTTATGCGTCAATACGATTTTCATATTTTGTCTTGTTGACTGCTTTCGGCTTTTGCAGCCTCGCCCACTTACAGTATGAACCCGTTGACTCGACTTCAGCAGACCAAAACAACTCCTGAAGAATGTTCTGTTGCTGCACAGAGGGGGGGCGCTTCTCGCTTCCAGAGACACGTGTTGCGCAATTGTTTTGTGTAAAATGAGCAAGTCCGTAGTGCACATACATTTATTTTACTTAAAATATCAGTTTAAGTCCCCCTCACCCCCCTTAGATCCCCGAGCAAGCTATTGATTACAGTGCACACCACACGTTTGATTACAACAACTCTTTGCAGAACGGATTTTTTTTTTTAATTTGATCAAACTATGAGATACCCTTGCCGAAATCGTGTATGACCTACAGTATACGTTTCTACAAACATTTCTGAATTCTCCTTTAAGACGCATAGGTTATTTTTCTAGGAGAAAACACCGTGGTATGTTTAACACTATATTTTCTTTCGCACGCCGTGCAATATCTTCAGGTTTTGTAGTTTTACAAGTATTTTACACTTAAAAATATTTTGTAAATTTAATTCGGTGGTACTGCATTATTACCAGTTACCCGGAACCAGCAAAGTACGTACAATGCAGTGCGCATGGCTACATTGTAAAACCATTGCGTCATGTTTACATTTTATTTTGGTAGTGGTCAATAAGATTTTTAATCACAGCCAACATTAGGATATTATCAGATTTTAAAATTGGTGCTTGCGTTATTCATGGTTATAAGGGCAGTGTGAGTGGAACATCTAATGGGGCATGCCACATTTGTAAACTGGTTTATGTACAGTAAAACATCAGCTTTTGACTTGATAACAGTATATGAAGTCTAGAGCCTAAGAAGTTTCTCAAAAGTATATTTCTGAATGTCCAAGTAGTCCACAGTTGTGAAATTACAGGAGAATCACATGGGAAAGACTTGCAATACTGCCAGTTAAAATATTATTTAAGACAAATTATTAATTTATAAAGAAAATACTTGACAATAAGATGGCAGCACATTGTCAGTGTATCACTGACAAACACAACAGTATTGTTTTTTTTACATTGTCTTTCTCTAATTATCATGGGTATATATATACTGTAACAGTCTTGCACGCTTCTTTTTTCACCACATTGAATTGCCCTGATAATGAATATGTGTGCACTTATATGTAATACAACCTAAACTTTGCTGGTTCAAATCCTAACCCTGGTCTCAATTCCAAAAAAGAGAACACGCTCTTTGCAGAAGTCAGCTTTAAGGATAGATTTGAAGAGATGGTTTGTGGGAAGTGTGAATTTTGGGACTGAAGCCTTATCTGTGGATCATTCTCTGAGAATGCTCCAATTTACAATCTTTTGGTGCCAGAAGTAAAAGGCATGAAAATGTACTATGAAGTACACCATATTCCGTTACTCCATAGACCTCATTAATAAATCATGTACACCTTATGTCGCATAAGAAATGAGTTGACAAAACACTCCTGGCATGACCAAATCCTATATTTCTTTACTACAAATCTCAAAGGTGTTGAAGGCATCTGAAACAGCAGGACATGAAAAATCGCTTAAAAAGTTTGTTTTTCTTGTTTGTGTAACAGACAAAATGTACAGTGCTGTTGGGGTTCAAGCTGCTGTTGGATTGTTAAAAAAAGCTGTTTTGAGACTGGAGCTGCCTACTTTTATCCAATCAAGTGAAAAAAAGCTGTAAAAAAGGTTTACACAGCACATTTTGTTTGTCCTGAAATAAATATGTACCGCTCATATGTATTATCGAAAGAAGGAGAAAGGGAATGATGTGTTCAATAGGAGTGGCCCATTCTTTAATTACCAAGTAGTGGTAATTATTTCTGTGTGCTGTAGAGTAGAAACAGACCAGTCATTTACTCCAATGTGCTGTGCTATGAGAAAATATTAGTGCAAGTCACCTCACAAGAAGCACATCAGTTGGGTCATATGCATCTGCTGCATCACTGAGGACAACAGCAGACTGGCTAATGTGTCAATTCAGACTCATAAGTTTACAGGCAGTGGTTGGTAGACACAAAAATCAGCAGCAGGAAGTGTAATTCATGTTGCCAGCAGCTTCGGTACTAGTATTCATATCATATCATGATCTCATAAAGCTAGATTCTTATTTTCTTATCAATGCTCTCCTGCTTCTAACTAAAAACTGATCATGCAAATGAGGGAAAGCCAATGCAGTCTAAAACTTGTTAACACTCCTGTCACATTGCTCCTTTTGTTCAGGTCTGCTGCAGTTTTGCTTTGCTAATCACGAGGTCACAGGTGAATGGTGAAAGAGAACACTTCACGAAGCCTGCAATGAGAGTCTGGATATGAATCTTCGGTTCTTTGGACTCAGAGTAAAGGTATGTCCAGCACTGATGTACATAAACAAACCATGCTTTTATCCCTTGCACCTCCATTTTAACAAAGTTTTCTCTGGTTTTCTAAAACAAATAGCCTACAAGTGGCCTAAAGCAAGCACCATGTTTTATCACACACTTTTACAATTGAAGTCTGACAGCATGCAGTATATGGAACGCTGCACATATATTTTTAAAATGATGAACGTCAGTGTGACAGCCAGAGGCAAACCTTCCTCATTTTGATATTGTGCTGACAGGAGGCCCCACAGTCCTGGGGTCAGTGAGTCCTTTATTAAAAACAACACTGCTGTCACCACACGGGGAGCCTCTCACACTGACACCTCTGTTATGTTGCGAAAGTGACTTTAATATGTCTGAAGGGAAAGAGAACTTGGCTCACATCTGAAACTAACTCACTAATGAACTGAGCTGAGAGACTAATTCCCCATTATCATCATCATACTTAAACACCGCACACACTTTGGTCCAGCTGAACTACTGACTGAGGCAGCCCTCCCACTGAAAACCCCCCACGTCAGTTGAATCCCATTGGCTTGTCCGCTGTTTTATTGTATCAGAACAGCCAGTCCAGTCTGAACAGAAACATCAGCGAAAGTGGACACATTTGGGAAAAGCAGAACTTTTTCTGTCTTTTCATTGTATGGCTCTGACAAAGGAGGAATTTCAATGAACTGTTTAGTGAAAACAAAAGCTACAGTAACCGTATGTTAGTGGTTGTACATTAAATTAAATTTTGCCACATCATTTTTGTAGAAGGAATATGAATGCGCAGTGATTATTTTCAGAATATCCAGCATGCATATATTAATGGTTATTTTTCATTGCATTACTGAGTGTGATATAGAGTACACGTTCCAGCCACAAAACATGAGGTTATGCATACAACAAAGCAACACATTGATAATCATTTCAAATTCATTTTACTAGAAACAGGGAAACACTTGAGATATTTATACAGCTCTCCCAAAAAATCCTTACTATTCATTATTCATCTTTGTAATCTGAATACTACTAATTTCAGATAGAACATAATGCAATTTATGAAGCCTTAACTGTGTGTATACTGACTTACATGTAAGCTATAACCCAACACTCATTATTTTCTTTGTCAGAATTGTACAATAGAAAAACATGCAGCACTGACAAATAGGAAATGCTGACAGCTGTATATGACCATACTGCACATGGACCATGAATAGGACGGTGGAGAGAAAAATATATTTTTAGAAAAACAAGCAGTTTGGATTATTTTCTCCTAGTGTACAAGTTTCAGTTTTGGACAATGCTGTACTATGAGAATTTGAGCTGCACATAGTATTATCCAAAGAAAAAATCTATAGTACACACCACATAATTTGGTAAATAACAAGAAACTGATTTGTGGAAGACATGAAAATTATTTAACAGTTCTAAATAGCTTAACACACAGGTGGTTCCGTTTACAGACCCACCTGGGTAATCTATGGAAATCATGTTTCCTGAGCAGTCCCACTACACAGCAGATCAGGTGGAGGACATTGTGGATATCCAAGATCCGAGAGGGACATCGTGGATATAGCTATCGTTTAGGAGGATTTTGCTGGTATACAGAGATCTGCATGGAGAACTCACAGACAGATGACATGATGGATGGATTAATACCCCTATTCATTTATTCCTTTTTTAATTGTATTCTTGCTGTGAAAGGCGCTATATCAAAATAAATTGAATTGAATTGTTGAATTGAGAAGAGAGAAATTGCTTCATGCTTCAAGGTAGCCAGACTGTGCAGGCCCAGAGTGGAATTCACCTAGAACTCTAGGGTAAAAACACAGTGTTACAAACCATGGCAAGGGATCTTTAATAATTTAAGATCCCTCAGTTAGAACCTTAGTGTCAAGTCTGATTCGAAAGATAATACCTCGTACAGCATGGTGTCTCCTGTCACCATACAGAGGCACTGGCTCTGGAAATTCTGGGCTGGATGGAGGAGTTCCACCTACTGGCCCAACAACACCACTTGCAGGTGGGACAAGGTAAACTTCTCAACCATTGTTCAAGTTTATTTCTCTTGCCTGCAGGAATAACGTGTGGAATAGAACAATAACTTCCTTTGAATGCTGAACTGCAGGTTTCTATGTTTTTGGGTTTTGTTCTTGCAATCAGTACCTAGAACAAGCTGATCACCCAATCCGAAAGCCACTTTTGAAAAACACTTTTCAGGATGTTGCTTTTGCGGATTTTGTTTTCTTTTTGACTCAACTATTCGTGCATGTTGACTTCTCAGAATGGGTTTTATGCAATATTAATAAAGTGTTAAAAACATGAATGTATGCTATGACTGTGTACAGGATCCAACCAAATTGGTGGATTTTATACAAATTCTTTAAATATACTGTACAGAAGGACTATGAAGTTTTAAGAATGACAAAAGACTCAGTCTAGCAAACTTCATGTAAGTAATTACTGTATACGATAACAAATTTAGAACAACTGATATTTTTGACGTGCTCATGATCTGCGTTCAAAGATCAAGGCCTGGTTCTTTTAAAAAATGTACCACACAAGCTTTTAATCCATAGGACTCCCTGGTGAAACAAAAAGGCCCATCTAGTGTTAAACTTCTGTAACACTTATACAAGATGTGTTCTGAGTTGAGGCAGGACCCACATGGTTAATGTGTCACACCCCACCCACTTTCTCATGTGCTGTGGCAGTACTTTAGGGCTAAAACAGACAGGAAGGGCTTAGCGAAGCACCAGTGATGGGAAATGAAACGTTTCCTAATTCTGAATCTAAACCACAAGAACTGCAAAACAACTGCTTTCTGAAGCAGGTGCTGAAAATGATTTTCTGTCTTCTTTGATTCTGAGAAAAAAAAAGATGAGCACATTTGCAGAACTTGTATCTGTTGGTTTGTCTGATTTTATCACACGGGAGCTGTGATACGAATGTACTGTGTGTGAGCAGAGAAGAGCTGGGCTCTTGTTTTTTTCTTTTAAAAAAAATCAATCAATGGAAATTCTGAGAAATGATTGGCAGGGAAGATGCCATTTTGTGTTGCACGAGAGCAAATATTTTATTTTTTACTGTTTTAGGGTGTGTAGACAGATATGAGATTTTCCTTGCCACCACTGGTCACATACAGTACACTATACACAACAGAAGAAAATCTTGAGAATCCTACAAGTTACACACTATGACCATCCGATGAGATTTAAACCATTTTTTTTCCACTTTAGACCTAGATTTTATTAATACAGATCAAAGGTTATAAGACATCCAGCTTCAGATTGTATTCCATATACTTATCAGCTTCTGACTATTAAAGCAACAGTATCTCCTCAGATTATGAGTACAGTTCTAACATGACCAGTGAAATCTGTACTCTGAACGTCGTACATCGTAAACATGATGAAGGTCATGGCATAAACTAACTTCTAAGAGAGAAGTGTTGTTCTACAGGAACTACTGTGTCTGAATCTTTTTAGTGACCCCATTGGAATAGTCTTTAGAGTGGATACAGGTATGTCTGTGATTCTAAATACCAGACTGAATGGTAATGGTTTTGCATTTCTAGAACAAAAATTCTTCAGAGATATGTGCTTCATAAACATTGTACAAGCCACAGACTCCTGAAGCGCTGTCGGGACAAGCCATTCAGAAGAAGGGAAATTGCATTGAATGCACAAGGTGAAACATTCACCTTGTTCCACAGCTGAATCTCTTTTTACTGTACTGACTTCAAAAATCCCCATCATTGCTTTTGTCTATCCATTGTACTGAAAAACACATACAATTTCTATGACAGACTACCAACAAATAAACAGTCCTCTCTTCCTTCAGTCTGCTAATGATCACAGCATTCTTGTGGTCCAAGGGGAGGAGAAATGGGCTCTTTTTCATCAGTGTAAATTCACCCCTTTAAAGCTAGAAATAAACCTACACTGTGTCCCTCCACTCTTGTAACACTCTCCAAAAAGCATTCTTTTGGGGCAGTCAGTGTACTCCCCCTTAGCTGTTTAAGACTCGTGTCCCAGGAGAGTTAGGACAAGCCTTGAGCAAGAACGTTTAACACATGGGTAAAACTTTGAGAACTAGCTCCTATTTCTACATAGTGAATTTTCCAAAGTCACTTTAAATGTATTACGTAGGAAAATCAGATTCTGTGTTTTTTTTTAAAAAGAATAATCATCTGTCTTTGATTCCCTTTGTAAATATAATTTGGATTTGTCAAGTGCTCTTTAATTAATCTCCTGCAGTCCTGCATTGACCTGGTAGATTCTAACATGTCATGACAGAGTTGTCTTGCCAATAGTTTATTTTCTAATGCATTATTTCTAAGACTGTTAGAACAAAGCTTTTGTGTTAAATAGTGGACAGAAATAGCTTCTCCTGGTGTCAAAGGGACATAGCCAGCAATAGAAGATTGTATTAATACGGCAGAAAGTCTAGAATCATCATCAGATAGGTTGCTTCTGGTTGGCCCAGCTAGTGTGGGTATACTCTCTCAGACGGCAGATTGAGTCCTATGCCTGTTTCAAACCCAGATCGTGTTACTAGTCAATCAAGTCCCTTGTGATGATGCACAGTTGGCAGAACACTGGTTTGGCATTAACTGCCAAAGACCTTCTCAGGATGCGGTGAAACAGTGACACCTATGACTACTTAGGTATCTGCAGGCTTGCAGTAACATCACAAGAGGCATGCCTCTTCTCCAATTGGTACTCACTCTCCTGCGAGGTACTGACAGGTGGGTGTGTTGGCTTCTCCCATTACAGTACAGAAGTCATATTTGTAAAGTCAGTTTGATGATTCCAAACTGAATGGGCATATAAAATGTAGTTGGAAAGTCAGAAACAATTACAGAGCACCAACCTGACTCCCTAATACAGAATTCACACCTTCTAAGAGGCTAGATCTAGATTTGAACCAACAGTCACCAGGTTGTTTACCTTCCTGGGCAGCGTTTAGCTAGATGACCTGTTTGCCTCACTCAGGTTAGTGCTTTATGTTGGATGGAGATGGTATTTTGCATGCAGGCGTCTCGGTGTAGATGGATGCAGTCTTATGTAACACAGATTCTGTTCCAAGAAGAAGTGAAGAACAAATGTTTCTCTTTCACTGTGTGTCCTTTGTGCAGCCTGGCCTTGAAAGGACTGCATTCCCAGCTGGCCAGCACTGTCAGATTGTACTGTACCTTCACAGGCGACTTTCCCAACACAAACAAAATGAAAAGCAAGGACACACATACTTCTACACACAAGTCCTGCAGAAACGTCATAAATCATTAGGTATAGCAACAGGAGAGAGCTTAAACAGATTCTTCCCTTGTGCAGCTATGCTGTGGTCAGACTTAGAATATGTTCAGACTTGTTCCTTTTCTGGTTCATTTTGCAGTGGAAGGCACTATTCATTTTTTAAAATAATTTTACTTGGAATGATCACTGAAACCCATTTCTGTGTGTAGTTGGCTCTTGTCCAATTGGAAACTGGACAAATTTAAATAGTAAAAAGCTGTCATGGTACCCTATACACGTTGTATAGCTAGGAAGCACCAGATGTGCATTTTCAATGCACGCATTATTTACAGGTAACAAGTAATGCACCAGATTCATCCAAGTCAGGATCGCGGGGCAGAGTAAGCCTACCCCAGCAAGGAACGGGCACATGGTGGGGTACACCTTGGATGGGACACCAGTCCATCGCAAACATCACATTCAAGAAAATCTCATTTATAAAGAAAATATTAAAGAATATCCTAAAAAGGAAAATTAGGGAGAATAACAATTCTTAAAGAATTTTCATTTGACAGAAACTGTACAATTTTGAATGAGTTCAATAGGAATTCTTATGACCAAAAACACAGGTAAAAAATGGTGTGCAGTCATCGTGCATGAATCAGTGTACCTTAACAGATAATCTGAGGCTCCGTTTGCTGTATATTGAAGTTGTTAGTGTCAGAATTATAGGTTAATTAAAGACGTTGAGCTTAACCAGATATATGTAATAGAACTGCACTACTGGGCAAAATATCTATTGCTGATTATAAACAGCAATAGATTATAGACAATATCTGTTTCAAACCAATGTGATATTTCATTTAGACCACAGATTCTTCTGGCAGGCTCTGTGAGCATCACTAATTAAAAGAGGCTGTTCTGCCAAGGCCATTAACAAATGAGGTCAACATCTGATTCTGTTACTTTGATCTGTGCTACTAATATAATTCTGTCTTTACCTGGGAGACTTAGGATACATAATATGTATACTGTCTTTATTATTGGCATCATTTATAATTTACTTAGCTGACACCTTTTTCAATGCCGAATTACATTTAAAAAATACTGAATTACAAAAATTATTCATTTTATCACTGTACCAGGAGACAGAAAAAATATTCTGTGAATGTCTTTGTGTTTCAATTGGTGCACTTGTTAGTCGAAACAAAAGCAGCCACAAGAGGAAACGAATTTTCTAACTACACCTTGGTAAGCAGCTTTCCAATTTGTCTTTGTAGCTTCAGAAGATTGTACAAAGGACAGCTTCAACCCCGGTAGCAGAATTAGTTAGGATTCCTGCTTGAGACACGTTTACACTATTTTCCATACTTTTGCAGTAAACATTTTTTCTGAGAAGGAGAACTGAAGATACTAAGACACTGTACTTTTTCAAAAGGTCAAAAATGTGGTTTTACTGGTTAAATTATCATACTTGTGAGATACACAACATCGTTCTGCCATGTGATATTTTGATATACTAAGCACAACACTAACAAGCTCAGGAAACAGGAACTATCCTCCTGTTGTCTACATTGTAATAAATAGACTTTTGAGTTAAAGCATGATTAACCATACAAATACAAGAACACAAAGTTCTTGTGAAGAAAGGATATGTAAAGTAACACAGCAGATGGCCTGTTTAGTGCTGCATACATTTTCTCCTTCTCAGTTAATACCAAGAACAATTGTACTATGGGTTGCTTCTGCAAGACAGAATAGTTCCAACTATTTTGCTGCACTCTGTCTGAACAATGTTAAGTGTGGTAGAAAGTTTCAGTTTATGCTTAAAATATCAGTATATGAAGAACAGAACATTTTGAAATATATATAAACAGGTCAAAGGCATCCCTTTACATGTCCTAGTGTGAAAAAGTCAGTAGTTTGCGGCTTCTTGGGCCACTGCAACCACTGACCACTCCAGAGGGGTGAAGACATGAGCATGGTCAGACATGTGCCTCACACCCTCTTCGTCTGTGTACTGTAACCTTGTGACATAAGCTGGTTAGGGACTGTCTTGCAGGTGAAAACTTCAAAGACGCTCACTAGTGTGTGGTAGGCCTGCAAACCCCTGGCCCACCTGTGCACACCCTCCTCTGAGGAGCACTCATCCAATTCAGCCAATCTAAAGCAGAGTAAGCTGGCAGCACTGCCAGATGACAGTTTCACCTACAGAACGCATCGTGCACCAGCTGAGTTCATGAGGAGCACATGCAAACTCTCTTTCCATTTCATAAACTCTGTTGCAAAGATAAAGAAGCCCATTTACGGTATAAAGAAAAACAAGCTACATGGACCTGACCAAGACAACCACACTTATACCATTACATTATAGTATTTATTTACAGGGATTACAGAATATGACTCTATTTACAGTACTTGTTACATCTGAGCGTGCATAAGCCAAAAGTACCCATACATCTTGATTTTAAACATTATTTTAACATAAAGTACTAAGGCAGCAAGTGGATAGTAAAAGATGTTATAGCCATTGATTGAAAAATTGATAATGAATCATCTGTCCATAAAAAGCGTAACTAACAAACGAAGCCAAGTACCTATAAACCCCTTAGTCTTACTTCTGTTACACGTAATGTAACGTGATGGAGATGATAATCAGAAGTAGAATTGTAGAAAGGTGTACAGCTTTGGTCACCATGAAATAAAAAAGATGCAGCTGCTTAATTTTCAATACATAGGAGAGTGATCAGATACATTTCATGGATTAAAGGAATGTCTAACACTGACAGACTAAAAGAACTGAAGCTTCTTAGTCTTTACAGGAGGACTTGGTGATTTGAGCATATAAAAACTGATTTGGATTTAAAAAAAGCTCAACCTCATTGACTCTTTCAGAAACCTGAACAGTACAACTCAAGTAGAAGTGAATAAGAAGTGCATTCAAAACAGAGAACAGGTAGCATTTTTTACAGAAATGATAACAGGAGCCTGGAATGTGCTACCAGGCTATGCTGTTACAGTCGATAACCTTCCTTCTTTTATGAAACAACTGGATGAGTTCTTCAAATCACTTGGATCATGAAATCTAGAATCTCAAATTCTTCTCTTGTTTGGAAGCTTTCTTGAGCTTTCTCTTTCGCCCCAAGTTGTTTTAAAATAAACTTCAAGAATTATCCCTAAATATGCAAAATAAAAACATCATGGCTCTTGTGCTTTAGTCCACCAAGTCAATATTTTTTTTTCCGTGATAAGATTTTTAGGAATGAGAGGCTTTGTTTTTCTGGAGCAGAGGAGAGGGTCGTGAGTCATCCAATTAGTGAAGGCACTCATTCAGAATGTCAGTGGCGGCTCAGTGGCCAGAAACTGCAGTATTGAAGTCAGACTGTGTCACCAACACAAGTGGTGAGGCACAATTCCCAGAATGTCGCAGGTATCAGGTGCGTTGGAGTTTGTGAAGATCGGGGACTCCTGTGACTTCATGGCCATCTTGCAGTGTAAGAGATTGCATCACACCTTTCATTGATGTTGGCTCTGCTGTGGGCATTGTGGAGGCTCAAAGTGTGAGAAATGGGAAATGGCCATGATCCTGCCATGAGGGTTGCAGCGATAAAGCACCGCTGATTAACTGGCTATTTCGCTTTAAGTAGCTGTAAGAAACAAATGGCTGGATATCCCAAAATATTTTCAAATAGCCTTGCATCCTAGCTGTAGGAACTAAATGGTCAATAACACACATTGTGATTATTGGATAGGAAATTAAAACAAGGCTGGATTTTTTTGGGGCTTTTGAAAAAGACAAAGTACCAGCCAGTAAACACCGGAATGAACAAAAACCTTCCCCCAAAAAAGTGACCAACCTAATCAATCTGGAAAGGCCCTTCATTTAACTGGCTTTGCATACAAACCGTTACGTGGAGTACCAGAAAGTACGTGGCCTTGTGACAGTTTTAAACGTGCTTTAAGGAATCGCAGTCTATTTAATAGAGAGAATACATCGTTTGACGTTTACACATATTTGTCGAGCTCTTGTGTTTGCTGCGTTGTTTTAGCCCGTAAAATTGTTTGGAACGGCCTTTTGGAGTTTGCACCACTGCCAATTGTGTAAAAAAAAAAACTGTACCATGACGGTATTGTCCCTGTAGTGACAACGGCTTCATTGTCACCGCATATAGGGTAGTAATCCGTTGACTGCGGCCCGTGTTATTCAGCTCAGCTGGACAGAATGGAAACCGAGTGCTCCGCGCGCACATGGCTAGCTGGCGCCGAGCCAAGCTCCTTGGGAGCAGCAGGAATTTAAAGGTGTAATAGTGCCTCTTCTATGCCGAGAAGAGAGCTGTGCGTTTGTTAAAGTCATACAACGCAAATGTCTGACTGACTGCAATGCAATTGCCCTTGCAAATGTAATTTCGCTCAATCGTATATTGTGCTGGTATTTTGTCCATTTCTGTTTGAGTTTTTATAACTGCGCAGTCCAAGGGCTTGAAAGACCCGGACATTAGTTATGTATATTTCTGTAGCGGTGCCGTTCCCGTTTGTAAAGTAGTAACGTAATTCAGCCTTTCATTTTCGTGTGATGATCTGGTAGTGATCATCTCTTTTATTCAGTGATCTTCGTGATCTCTTGGTATTTGCACATAATCAAATAGTTTGCCAATAAATTGTACCCCTCCAGTGGCTCTGTAAATTTCCGTGGGATAATTGGGCCTCCTTTAATTGCTATTTCAAAAGCACTATTTTGTTGTGTGTTGCTCTACGGGACCCTAACGTTGGGGGGAAATAGTGCCACCTAGAAACTGAATTAATTACAGGTTTCTTAACTTTATTGTATTCTTCAGCGTTTTTATTGGTATCGGTAATTGCCTACAATGAGAACACGCGGTTCTGGCCTCATATTTACAAGCTTTAGAACAGAAAAATGTTTGGTTTCTGACTTATTTTTAATTTATGCCATTTCTAATTCTGGCACTTAAAATAGAGCCTTCTGGCGGCTCGTGTACTTTTATTATTGTTCTGTCACGGACGAATTTGCTGACTCACAACCGCACAGTTCTTTCAAAATCGTGAAACAAAAACAAATTGCCACGACATATGCATTCCGTAGCTCACTGCATGTCGGTTTATAATGTAATATGGACACATATAATGCCGTCTGGATGGGCGGATAATTGGTAAGTATGCAGGAGCGTGAAGAATATGATAGGTGCAGCATGTTTTTCTTTTTCACTCAGCAGTGGTATTTCCTTCACTGGAATTATGATGATGATGGTGAAACGCGACGTCTTTGTTTCCTACTGAAAAGTTTCGGTGCCGCTTGCGCGAGGGCGCAGAACCCAACTTCGCTCGCGGAGTTCCGAAAGAGGCAGGTAACAGGCGCGCGGGGACCTCCGCGCGGCCAATGGAGACGCGGCGCCGGTGACGTCACGCCCATATGTTCGGGGGGCCTGCCACGCCCCCAGCGTGGATAGAAACAGCACTAACTAGAGAGCTATTATACTGTCACCATGCAGGAAAGAGGCTAAGAGCAACGATGGGAGTTTTAATTTTAAATTCTGCCAACTTTTTAAACATTTTACGATCGACACAATTCCAGTAGAAGGTGGGAGCCTTTCATCAGATGCAATACCGCTTTGATCTGAACCGTTTCCCACCCAGGATATCTTTGTTTTACTGACAAGCCGGTAAGCTCACAAAGTGTTTTTAATGAGAGACCTACCTCCGTATCGGCATCACACAAAGGGATTCGCGGGAACAACTCCTTCTCACAAGCAGTGTTTTTTGTCTTTGCATGTCACAGAGAAATAGAGGGGCCTCTATCTCTTTGACGAAATGGATCATTTTGCAGCAGAGTGCCTTGTGTCTATGTCCAGCCGTGCTATTGTGCATGGTCCAAAGGGGAGTATAGACATCAAACCAGAAACTGCATCCGCTCCTAGAAACGGAGATGAGCCTAAGGACGCAAATAAGGATCTTCTGGTGAAAGACAACTCGTCTCTCTTTGTGGTTGCCCGGATTTTAGCAGACCTAAACCAGCAGACCCCCACCAATATTGCCGACCAGGCAAAGATTAAGGAGGAGAACACACCAGCAGAGGATCGGAACACTACCACACCTACCGTCAACACCGACCCCGGTCCCAGACAAAGAACCAGGCGTGGGAGAGGTCGGGTTGAGCACGAATCTCCCCAGAAAAAGCACAAATGCCATTATTCAGGTTGTGAAAAAGTTTATGGCAAATCGTCCCATCTTAAAGCCCATCTAAGGACACATACAGGTCAGTTCAATTTTTAGAAAGCGTTTGTGTTTAGCAGGATTTAAAAAAAAAGTTTCATCCTCCAGGTGTTTTTTAAAACCTCTCTTAATGAGGTGATGCACTGCAAATCGAGGCTAGGATGAACGAGCCTGACAAAAACGCATTAAATCCTGAAAATGCAATGTCTCCAGTCTTTGATAAACTCTGAACTCCACCCACTATCTCTGTTTCTAGTAAGTGAACAAAGACCCTTCCTAGCTTTCAGAATGCAATACAAACCTGTTTTGTTGCAGGAACTACACGCGGTTTTATTAGTACTAGACACTTGTACTACCAGCTTCATTTTATGTTTTTATTTACACAGTTACATGTATACCTAAACCCTGCAGTGGTGTTGGGAGCAAAGGCTTACACAGTAGATCGCTTGCAGATAACGCCCACATGGATGCAGCATTTAATTTCAGTTTTGATCGACATGTTGTCGAGGCTTTTCAGTTTTCGGTCACACAAATTACTTCGCACGTTGCGAGCCTGTGACCTCGTTCCGAACAAACTATAGAAGAAAATGTTTTAAAATCGTGCTGGCTATAGAAAGACGCGTTAGGGTAACTGTGCGCAGCCAAGGCGGAATAAACTAAACAGACGAGTTGAGTTGAGTGCACTAGATTTCTGGCTATTTCATTATCGGCTGTGTAAGTAATTCGTAGAAGATGACGTAACCGGTCATAAAGTATTAACTGATCACACCAAGAGTGTCTGAAACTACCAGGCAACTACGCTGGGAATGTCCAAACTTCTCAAAAACTATGCGTCGGTTTCCCCAAGCAGAAGCACGCAAGCCCAAATCGACTGTTTATTACTGAATCTGTAAATACCCCGTGTCGGCAATTCTTCCGCTCGCTCCTGGTGGATAATATCGCGACATGATATGTACGAGGAGAACCCAAAGAGGGAGAAAAATGGGGGGTTGGTACGAATTCTGCAGTTGCCTGTCTGAGTCTTAAGCTCTTTGTTGTGATGTACCACACCCCCGCTCGCCAGACTGCCAGCTGATCTGGCCAGCAACAGACACTGCTAGCTGAGCTCCGAGAGCGCTACTCTCCACCAGGCGAGAGGCAGGATGGGAGGGAGCTGCAGAATTACACCTCCCAGAAAATAAAATCCCCCTTTCAGCCCGTAGATCCCAGGTTTTAAAAGCACAATGGGGCGTTTTGTATGGGATTGAATAAATGCAGGCACGTTTGCATGCCAAAAGGGCCACTCGAGTCTGGGTCTCTGAACACGTACTACCCACCCAGAACCCCCTACACTGTCCTCGGGCTGTTACACAGGCACCAGGAAAGTTCTTGGCCACCATAGTTTTTGATGGTTTGATTACCCCTTTAACTCGGATATACCTCGCTTTGTTTGTTTGTGATGTTGCTGCATGCACTGAGTGAAGTTAGGAGCTGAATGTCAGTTTTTCAAAATGTGGGTGCAGATTAAAAACCGCGGTATGAGTTTCTATGTTCTAAATAGTTTTTAATATGCTTTCTTTGTTCTATATATTTTGGGAATTTGGCTAATACAATTCTCTGTATGTATATATGTAGGCGTGCCTGTTGGTGCCGGTATAATAATTGCTTTCTGGACACTCCACTCAAAGCACTGTACAGGTAATGGGGACTCCCCTCCACCACCACCAGTGTGCAGCCCCACCTGGATGATGCACCAGTACACTCACCACACACCAGCTCTCAGTGGGCAGGAGAGCAGAGTAATGAAGCCAGTTTTCATAGATGGGGATTATTAGGAGGCCATGATTGGTAAGGGCCAATGGGAAATTTGGCCAGGACGTCGGGGTTACACCCCTACTCTTTTCGAGAAACGCCCTGGGATTCTTAATGACCACAGAGAGTCAGGACTTGGTTTTACGTCTCATCCGAAGGATGGCATCTTTTTACAGTATAGAGTCCCTGACAGTTCGTGTGGGGAATTGGGGCAGTTCGTGTGGCCCTTCATATCTGCTACATCACAGTGCTAGGATACATCCAGTTCCTTAATTGCTATATTGATCCTGCTAATTATCAATTAAAATAATTAGAGGTGCTGGCTGTAGCAAAGCCATGTCATGGAGTGAACTGGAAGAGGCTGCAAGATGAGTAGCTCTGTGCTTTTTTTGGTTTACAATACCTGTGTGTAAGCTGGTCCTGTGAATTGTGTATTACGACTACCTTAGATTCTGGAAAGAAGGTTGATTGATTCAGTGCACTGGATCAGGGGTGCTCATGGCTAGTCCTGGAGGGCTGCTGTACCCACAGGGTTTTATTCCAACATAGCTCTTGATGACCTGACTGAAACCATTATCAGCTCGATTTGACGGAGCCATGGGTCAGATTTAGCCTGGGATATCTGCTACCCACTAACCTCCAAAGCAAAAACATCATCTGCTGGGACAAGTAGGAGTGCAAAACTAATAAGGCACCTGAGTTTGTCCTGGCAGTCCAGAAATACTCTGCCAGTACTGCTCATATTCTTCCTGTGTGTTTCAGAGCAGCACACAGTGTTCAACCATGGTGTTCTATTTAGGATTATTTTTTAAGTTCATTTTTCATCTTGGTATAAGCATGAAATTACTTGCCCATTGAGTGTTGTTAAAATATTTCCCAAAAGAGTAAAATGTCAGTTTTTCAAACTTAATGCCAGATAAATTTTATACAATGTTGTGCTAACATTATATATATATATAACATTAATTAACTAATTATGCCTGTAGTTTTTGTTTTTAAAATAGCTCATGGAGGTTAGATGAATCACATTTTAAAATAACATTTCATAAGAGAACTGAATGAGTACCAGAAAGTAAAAGTTTGACAAAACATCTGCATTTTGCATCTCATTTAGCTCGTATTGCTTTTAAGCTTACCCTAATCTGCAAATTGTTGTTTTTACAGTATGCAACCGAATAGATAAAATCCAGATGAAACCAAAACATAGAAACTTCTGTGCAAAGTCTACTGTTTGTGCCCTGTGGAGTCCCCAAAGACAACACATTTGCTATCATTTCCAAAGAATTATTGTGGAGTCGGTTTTATGTTTTCCATGTAACTATCAAGGTGGAGTTTTCTCTCTGCCTTGTGTAAAATTGCCTGGGCCAAATAAACTTGGCTGTAAAGGCAATGGAAGGTATGTCAATATCAGCGATTGTGAGATTAGATTATAAAATGTATCTTGGTTAAAATGTGATTCTGAAATCCTTATCGTCACCCTGAGAATTCACCACTGATTGCCATCAAGGAAAATCTTTTTCTTTGACTTGTGTTCATCACTGCCCGCCAATCCAAATGACCATTAAGTTTCTGATGAGTAATACCGTTTAAATTAAAAGACAAATGACAATTTATGAATGCTGTTAATGTGAATTCTAATTAAAACAAAATACCCAAGAAGAAAACCACAATGCTCTGTGCAAAGGTACATATTTCAGCTACAATTAAGATGGCTGTGCTTGCCAATCATTGCTATTAAACTTGCATAATCTAAATTGGGCTTGGTTTTATACAATGAAACTACAGTTTCCATGGGTTTCTCTGTTCAGTAAATCCTTGGTCACATTTGAATTGTGCATAAGTGATAGGCTTTTACAGGGTTGGTTAACCTTTTATCATAAGATTTCTATAATTCATTTAAGCATGAAATATAGAAATAGAAAGCATTTTGCAGCATGAAAGCTGGCACTGCTGCCTCACAGTTCTTGGGGCCTGTGTGTTTGTTTCAGGCCTGTGACACTTATGGGGAAAAACCATTTAGAACATTTACAACAAAGGTTTGTTGGTCTCTGGAAGAATCTGCCCAGCCATGTTGTTGAAGCGTTTGATAGGAGAATTTCTCCCTCCTATCAAAGATATGGTGGCTGGGTGTTCTTTTTGTGTAGTTATTAAGGGTGTAGCCCTGCCTTCCAACCTCTGCTTTAAGAAGACGTTTCTGGTTTCCACGATCCTTACTTGGATTAAGCAGTTTCCAGATGAGGGGTGGATAGGTTTTCTTATTTGTTGTCAGGATAGTAAATTGTTATTCTCATCATAGTTGTTTCAGGATTCTCCTGTAAGGAGCGTTATGGTTGCATCTTAACAAAAGCATGAAGTGACCAAACTCTTTAAGATTCTCTCACTTCGTCTCTGCTTTACTGTACTTTAATTTTTTTTATACATTTTTAATGCAGCCCCCCTGCTGGTCCATAATGCAAATGGAGACTTTTCCAGACAGTTCGTCTAGACGCTGCTGATCTTTGGTTTTAAAGTTAAAATTGAGGAAAACAAGCTTTGTAACTAGTCAATTCTGGTAACCCAAAATGTGTAGTTAATGAATATATGTTTGTTGCAAAATAATATATTTCATTTTGGGGCCTTGATTTTGTTTTTGGTCTGGCTCTGTTTTGCTTTGACTCAAATGGCTATAGCTAATTTTAATGTGGCTTATAACTTTTCTAAAAAGGGTGAAAAAATTAGATACAGTGTTGTGAGATAAGTGCATGTACAGTATATTTTTCTTTTCTGAAATGTATTCATTTGTGACTCACACATTCTGTGGCCAAGTCTGAAAATATGATCTGGTACAACATTGAGCATATTGACAAGATTCATAAAGTTAAACTGAAAAGCACTGTCAAGCAATAATGCAGTTGTGAGAAGGGGTTCATGTGCTGTTAGTATCAGCTGTCATAACTGCTACGTGCTGCAGTAGATGTCTGTTTATGAGAATTGTTTTGCTTTGGTTGTGAATGATAATAAATGTATCATGTTACTCGTGTGTGGCACAGCGGCGCAGTGTGTTAACACTGCTGTTTTGCAGTGCTGTGGTCCTAAGTTCAATTCCTGGGGTGCTATCTGTGTGGAGTTTGTATGCCTTTCTGTGTTCATGAGGCCTTCTGCCAGGAGTTTCCTCCCACAGAGCAGATTAATTGGGCTCTGGGAAAATTGGCACAGTGTGAGTATGTTTGATTGCTAATGGACTGATGTCCTGTCCAGGGTGAATCCTGCCTG